CTGATGCCCAGCTGGTCCTGCTGCCTGAGAGGCACCACAGCTTAGACTGGACCCCACTGGATCTCCTGAAAATCTCACCGGATCTATCCCCACCCCACACTGACTGACTACAGCAACATCATTCAAGCCCCTCTCCCAACAAAGCAGTTTGAAACAGTGGATATGACATTGACCTGCTTGCTTTAAAACAAACCAATCATGTGACTTTTAAGTGGCTTTAGCCATTTTTTTTTTATTTCCCCCCTCCCCATGCCCCATCCACAGGTAGCTGTGATCGCTCACTTGGCAAAGCCCATCCTTCTCCTTCCCTACTTCTGTCTCAGCAGAGTGGCAACTGGGGGAGAGGGGTTTAGTTTGAGGTTTTTCATTTTAAAGGCAGCTGAGGTTTTTACAAAAAAAGCTGTATCTTTGTTTATAGCAGAACTTTTATATGTTCTCTCATTCCCCTCCTTCTTTCTGCTTTCCTCATTCCTTTCAGAAAAGATTCCCTTCAGCTAAAATGATGTTCTGACAAAACTCTGCTTAGTTTTGTATATGGTTCTGTGCTATGTTGAGAGTTCGAGTTTGTTTGGGTGTATTTCCCCAGATGATTTAGCCTTTCAGACTACTTGATTAAAAAAAACAGGACAGATACGACATTTGTTAATTTTTCAGTATTTTTGTTTTAAGCTAGAAGCAGTGCTTGCAGTAGGAAGAAATTGTACTAAAGACATATAGTACATTAGTGCATAAATCCTGAAACTTGCACCACTTCAACACAGCTTTGGGGTGCTTTGTGCACAACAAAATTTTGCATTTTCGTTTTAAGGAAAAAAATCCAAACCACCAGATTTCTGTTGCAAGTTCATGCAGATCTAGGTGTTTAATTTTTCCTTTTTGTGCGTTTCGGATTTTTTTAGTGACTGCAAAACACACGCCAAAATGTAAATCATAGATTTACAAAATGTAACATTTGCTAGGAAGAAAAAAATTCTCACAGCACATGGGTCAGAAGAGTTGGCTAGAGCCAACGGGTCTGTATGGACTACTTTTTGTAGTTGTGATGCTCTCTCATGCTCCCTGCCTTGGCTGCTCGAATTCTTCGTGTCTCCTGAGACTTGTCCTATATTGTGTTCATCCCTCGGGGCTGCTCTCCTAAGCTTTGCTCTTTTCCCTGAGTCTTGCTTTCTATTACTCTATTCCATGGCCTTTTGTAAAATTTGCATAGAGATACGTTGGTAAGGGAGCCCCTCTGCAAGGCACACTTGGAACCTCCTGTTTTGGGTTGGAAGCGCGTGGTTACAGAGGCAGATTGGAATCATCCTTCTCCTCCTCTCCTTCCCCAGGTGAACAGCAAAGGGTTCTTTATTCTGATGCAGTTACATACAGTGTGTGTACAGCATCATCACCTCACCACTCCTCTCCAGTGTTTGATGATCTACACAAGGAAGATCCCAGTGGGAGAGGTTGGGTTTTGTTTCTTTGGCTGTTTGGTTTTGGTTTATGTGAGCGTGCGTGCGTGTGTGTGCGTGTGTGTACGTAGATTTTTTTAGAATAGACCTAAAAGTTCCTGAAAGGGCATTGAGTCCTTCACCTGATGGTAGTCTAAAGTAAAAGCTACTTTCAGCTAACTTGGTTTGTGTTGTTTAGCTCTTTCAAATGTAAAGTAGGCTGGTCACTCTGAAGTGAGGGACAGAACCGTTTTTGGAGATGGTTGCTTGCTCACGGGCTGTGTGTCAGCCTCTGCTGGGTGGCAGAAAGTCATTTGGTGGTGGTTCCAAAGAAGATATTTTGAACAAAGAATGTATTGGGGAAGGGATCTGAAAGGTGTTCTTGTTTCTTCGTTTGCTTATTTCCACCCCCTCCCCTTTCTGGAAAAAGTTCCTTTGTAACTTTGTAAGGATGCATTTGAAGTTTTAAGCTAGGCATAAATATGATTTTTATACAGTAGCTTTAAAGAGCTTAGAAACCTAAACTAACTTAGGCATAGTAATGTCCCCTCTCCATAGGTGTCCCCATGGAACATGGCAGAGAAGCCGAAGGGAAAGGGATAGGATGGTACTTTAAGAAAAAATAAGAGCTCTTTTTTTCTTAGGTTTTATGGATTTTAATTTCAGAGCAGAGTGTGCCAGCATCTCTCTAGCGTCCTCCTTAAAGTACAGGGTTTGAGATTTAGTGACAAATACTTTCCCAACCTTCAGACATCTCCCAGATGTGCATCCTCATCTGCTAGTCCTGCTCCCAGTGTTTTCCAAAGATTGCACCTCCAGTAAGTCATCCCACCCTTGTTTCTATTTTCTCCCTTGAAATACCATAACAGCAGAATTGTCTGTTCAGGATTTTTTTTTATTATCCTTCTGCCCAGCTGGCCCTAGCTAATATGAGCCCAGAATCTAACTAATGGCTAAAGAGACTTACCTGAGCCCCCTTCTCTCATCTCTTCCCTACTCTAGACACACTACTTCAGCTTTACAAAGACACTAACCTCCTTCCTCCCACCTGTGTGACTCCAAAATGGTCAAACGTGTTGGAGAAACTGGGTTGTTGCAAGATCCAAGTTACTGCAGTCCCTCTGGTGTACATGCCATCAGAACTACAAAACTTCCTGTTGAAAAAGGTCACCCTTCTTTCTCTTTTAATCCCTCCATTCCTTCCCCCGACAGAATAAAACACTAGAATTTATTTATACGTATTTGATGTTGTAGGTCTAGGTGAAAAAGTAATTGTTTCACTGCTCTATTTATATATTATGTCTGAATTATTCTGTGCAGGAAAGGCCAAGAAATGCATGTGAGCTTCATTCCATTTCTCAACTTTGCGTGACTGTCAGCTGCAGTTGGCAAGACTCTCTCACTTAGTGGAGTTTTGTGTGATGGAAAGCAGTTTTAGAGCTCAAATTTCTTCGGTGCAATATCCTTCTCTGGCATATATTTTTGCTTGTTTGTTTGTTTGTTTGTTTAAAGCTAGTCCAAGGTTAGTGCAGTTTGTGGTGCTCTGGAGTCAAAAGGAAAAGCCTCTGATCCTCAAAGGAGCAGAAAAGCCAAGGGAGCTGGAATGCTGATAAAAATCCAGCGTGGAGAGGAGGATGGAGGTGCACAGAACGTGTCAGTGTGGTTAGAGGGTCCTTCTGCTTGCTGTCTGCACTATTGAAGGGTTGATTTATTGCTGATTTATTCCTTTGTGAGTTGTTTTTGCTTTGACTGGAAGTCAGCTACCAAACTGCAGTCTCCTTCTGCTGGGAAGGAAAGGTGCAGGGTGCAGTGGGAGGGAAAGGTGGATCCCATCTTTCCAGCAGCAAGCAGGACTGTTCAGAGGCTGACTGCTGCCCTAGTTCAGCAGAGGGTGTGAAGCAGCTGTGTGATCAGTTCCCTGTCACACAGTGACTCCTGGCCAGCAGCTCCAGTCAGTGCTGCTGCCCTCACCCCTTCTGTGTTAGCTCTTAATTTAAAAACAAATCAACATTGAAGTCTAGGAATAAAAAAAAAAATTAAAAAAAAATTTAAAAGGGTTAATAAGTTGGCACTCCAGTATATTTTAAAAGAAGCAGAAGCAGCACAGTCACCAGTGGCACAGGTCGTGCTGTTATGTTCCATGGCCTGCTCCTGGCTGTGCAGTGCCTGCACCTCTGGCTGTGTTTGCTGCCATTGCACTCCCGTGTGTAGAGGCACTCACTGCACCAACACCTTCCTTGCAGCAAGCTGCAGAGCCACAAGCTGCCCTGTGGTTCCTGTGTATCTGTAGATAGGCATTCCAGATGAGCTGGGTGTTTTTGCTGTGTCTCTCCTCTTGGCTACGCCAGTCATTGCAGCCAGCACCCCTGCATGCCAGGACCTCCTGTTGCATTTTCTTAACCCTCCCTTTTGCTCCAGGCTGGTTAAGCACAGGTTAAATCCTTGTAGAACTGGTTATTTTTTATTCAGCAGCCCAGTTTCTCCATAAAAAAGTTACATTTGTGAATAAAATTTCATTTACGGCAGCCACCAGCGTGCTTAGCTGTGGCACACGGACAGAAAAAGTGCATTTTGCTGAAGCAAAGAAGAGACAGTAGAATCAGCTGGTTTTGTTTATTTTAACCCAAAGTCCACCAGGTTTTGCAGTGGCCATAGCCACTCCCTTGGGTTTAGTGGCTTGTTCTGGCTGCTCCAGATGTCCTTGGCTGTCCCCAGGAATGGCAGCTGCAGCAGTGAGGCGCTCACCCTTTAGCATGTCTCGAGGCATTGTCCTTAGCTGGAATCCCCCTCTGGTTCTGTAAAAATTGCATTTGTTGTTTCTCAAGGGGATACTGTCCTCCTTAAAGCTTTTAACTTCATGACCTGTATAGTAAAATTTTTTTTGGCCTTTCCTCTCTTTGTCTTTTCATGTAGACCAGATATTTGAAAGGGCAGACGATGGATAATTGTGTAACGTGCAACCTGTTTATATTTTTTGGAAACTTTAACTCGGACCGGAATTCGAATCACGGAATCACCAGGCCAGTTGCGGCACACTCTTTATTGCCCTTCTCCTCGTTTCAGTACCTATTGTTTCTCCTTTCAAATATGTGATTGTATTAGCTCTTTCCATATGAAAGAATTCTCCTTATTTAAATAAAAAAAAAAATTTAAAAAATAAAGCAGATTATGCTTTTCTCAAATTCCCCAGTCCCTTGTCTGGTTATTTTAGTTAATAATAAAAAAAAAAACAAAAACACAAAAATAAATCCAAAACGAAGACAAAATGAAAACAACATCCCCCCAAAAATAAAAATAAAAAAAAAAAAGAAAAGAAAAAAGAAACCAAAAACACACAAAAAATTTTAAAAACCCCAAAGAAACAAACTAAACAGATAACAAAAAAGCCCCGGCGGCCGGGTCCGTGGTTATTTCCATGGAGCCGGGGAGGCCGGGCCCGCTCGCCACACACGGCGTTGCCATAGAAACACTTCCGGGTTCCGCCTCCGCGCGTCTGACGTCACATCCGGTATCGGCAGGTAGGGGCGGGTGGAGCGCGGCGCGCGGGAAGGCCACGCCCCCCGGGCCGTGTGGGGCCGTGTGGGGCCGTGTGGGGCCGTGTGGGGCCGTGTGGGGCGGGGGTCCCGCTCTGATCCCCATCCCGGTCCCGAGCCTGGACCCGCTCTCAGTCCTGGTCCTGCTCGCGGTCCCCGTCTTGCTCCATCCCAGTCCTAGCCCCGATCCCAATTCCGGTCCTAGTGCTGGTCCCGGGCGTGTTTCCCGTCCCGCTGGTCGCTCGCCCCCTTCACCCCCGTACGGCTGAGGGCGGCGGGCGAGCCCCTGGGTGGGCTGGTGCTTCTCTGCCCCCCAAAAACACCCAAGGGAGCATCCAGGGCTGGATCGTGGGGATTAGTGACCCTCTGAGGGCCGCCTGTGCGGTCAGTGGTGCCCCCCGAGAGCTTAAAGGGGGAGATAAATGGGGCAGGGTTGAGATAAATGGGGCAGGAGATCTTTCTCCTTTTCAATGCCTTTATTAGACAGAATCCGCTCAGGTGGGGAGCAGCCGACGGGTCGCGCCCACGCCGCCGCTGCTCCCAGGCGTGGCACAGAGGAGGAGGAGGAGGATGGTGCAGCTGTGTCCGCTGGTCTGCAGGCAGAGCTGGGGATTCCCTCCTCGGGGGAGAGTAGGAAATTCCGCTTTTTCATCCTCACATTCCAGGTCCTCTTTCTAGTTAAGACCTTTTAAGGTTAGGGTGAGAAGTAAAAGGATCTTAGCAGATACTGGATTAAGTTCCTCGTCCTTAGACGTCACTTAGGTCTCTTCATTCCATGTTGGCTCGGTTTTTTTCCTGAAACTGAGAGGTGAATTGCATTCTCATCTGCATACTAGCTCTGGTGTCACTCCCTTCCCCTGCTGCCTGCGGGGTCTGGTATCACCCCTGGCAAGCATTAGAGGGGAGGATGGCTAATCACCAACAATTAACAGGTAATTGAAGATGAACTCTTAATAGGTGGCTGCAACATGCAGGTAACCTTCAACTTAACAGCAATTGGTTCAACTTCTTTTAACTTTGCAACCTTAAAAAAAATTTATAACTTTTTTATTCGTAACAGGGTGGGGACGCTGGCCGTGGTCCCCCCTCATGAGGGGTGCAGAGGTTTGAGGTGTCCCGAGGAGGAGCCGAGGTGCTGCTGCTCACCTGCCCCGGGCCCAGGGGCTCCATCAGGAGGTGACAGAGCCCGGGTGGGAGCACAGCTCTGCCAGGGGCTCCTGAAAACCTCTGCTCCACGCAGTGCTTGTGTTTTGTAGGCAGAGAGAAGCCAGGCCGGTGGCACGGCTCTGGGTGGCGGTGATGTGCTCGCGTCTCGCTTTGTTCTGCCCTGATCAAAGCCACGCAGATGGATTTGTTCTGGTGACTTTCCGTTGTGTTGAGGTGAGGAGGCACGGCACGGATTCTCTGCTATTTTCTGACCTAGCTTTTAGCACTTCTGCTTAAACAGCACCTGTACTCCAGTAACCAGCTTTCTAATGCAGAGGGCGTTTGGGGGATTTGCCCCTCCCTTCCCTACTCCCAAAGAAATACCTCCATTTGTAAGGAAGTAACTTGTTTGAGTTTGTTTTTTTTTAAGCTACCTGGGCTCTAAATAGCTCAGTTAGTGAGGTCACCTGGTGCCTGAGCACATGGGTTGTCCATCAGTAGCATCAGAATTTGGACTGTGAGGTTTGCTTTGCTCAAAGCAGAATACAGGCTGGAGGATGAAGCTGCTGTGCTCCTGCAGAACCAGTGTAAGAATTAACAAGGTTTCTAGCTTACTACTGCAGGCAGAAGCAGGGCAGATGAAAAGTGTGTCAGTTCAGTAACTTTATTTTTACAACTAGTCTTGTAGATGGACTAGAAACACAAAAACATGAAAAGCAAGAGAATTTTGGGAAATTAATTACCATGAGCTGCTTGTAGCAGAAATCAGGCTTGATGCTCTCTGTGGGCCAAAGTGTGACTGCTGTTCTCTTCTGCTCTCGAAGGGTCAGACAAACCTTTGACAGGATGCTGGGATTCCTGAAGGAGCCCGTTGTGGTCACTGCACAGATCAATGTGAGCCTTGTGGCACTGACTGTGATGGGATTGATCAGTCGTCTCTGGGGGCTTTGCTACCCACGGGCTGTGGTGTGAGTAATGAGTTTATTTTATTCCTGAATGACACAGACTTGTTTTTCAAACATTTGTGAGCAAGAATGCAGGAGCAGAAGATCACAGCTTGACTGATGTCAGCCTCTGTAAATCACAGAATCACAAAATCCCAGACTGGTTTGGGTTGGAAGGGATCTTAAAGCTCATTTTATTCTGCCTCCTGCCGTGGGCAGGGAAACCTTCCACTATCCCAGGTGCTCCAGCCTGGCCCTGGACACTTCCAGGGATCCAGGGGCAGCCACAGCTGCTCTGGGCACCCTGTGCCAGGGCCTGCCCATCCTCACAGGGAAGAATTCTTTCCTAAAATTCATCTCAACCCACTCTCTGTCAGAGTGTAGCCATTCCCCCTTGTGCTGCCATCCAGGCTCTTACAGTCTCTCCCCATCTTCCCTGTAGGCTCCCTTCAGGTACCACAAAGCCACAATTAGGCCACCTCTGTGGGCCTTCTGTTTTCCAGGCTGAAAAATGCCAATACAGTGATAATCTTTACCTAACAAAACCCCCTGAGGAGAAGGGGCAAAGCCTCAGTGCTTCCTTGCATTCTTAGCTTTCTGCCAACAAGTTGGTGTTTGCTTTCTGAGTATCCCTGCAGGAGAATTGCTGTTAGATTTAACATTTTTCTGCCTCTGGTGTTTCAGTTTCGATGAAGTTTATTATGGCCAATTTGTTTCACTCTACATGAAGAGGATCTTCTTTGTGGATGACAGTGGCCCACCCTTTGGCCACATGCTGCTGGCCTTGGGAGGTAGGGTCTCCTGGAACTGGGAAGTGCCTGTTGCTTGTTGCTGTGCAAGAGAGAGGTGCTGGTTAGAAATGAATTATTAAATCCACTTATGGGGGAAAGCACAAGGCAGATGAGAAACTCTGGTGTAGAGAGAACTGAGTTTTATTTAGGATTGTTAGGGGATGTTGCATGAATAGAGGGGGGATGATGAAGCCATGTATCCATCACCTCACTGTTATCCAATCCTTTGGATAAAGAGAAAAGTAAGATGAGAACTGTTAGTGCAAGAAATAGCCTCAGTTCCTTTCTGTAGCTGAGATACCACAACATCAAAGTGTCTGTATGGTTGGGAGGATTAAATATACATCTGACTTCGTCACTGAGAATCCCTTGTTCCCAATTTATAGTTTTTGTGCCTCTGCACATTGTCAAGTACTGCTGCAGACAGAACAGTGTCAAAGAAAACCTTTTTGGGAAAGAGGGCCTTCATGCAAGGAAAAGCTGTGTGTGTGGGAAAGGGTTCCCATTTTAGCACCAGGTTTTGTACGTGCTTTGAGACTGGAAAAACTCTTGTTTATGTTGTAGGTTACTTAGGAGGATTTGATGGAAACTTCCTGTGGAACAGGATTGGAGCTGGTAAGAGTTGCTTTTAACTGTTTCCTTCTTTAGAGAAAATAAGGAGAATTTCAGATTCCTTTTGCCTGTCTAGTGGAAATAACACTTTTCCCACATCTTCACTTCTCTTTTAAAATAATTCTTCTGCAGGTCTGTAGCACAAGTTAAAAGCACTATGAATTCATAACACAGGCTTTCTAAATCAGCTGAACAGTTTAAGCAATACAAGATGAACAAATCAGTGCAAGTAGGAGTTAGATTCCTCTATCAAGAAATTCTGTGTTGGTCTGTCCTCTCTGCAGTTAAGTCTGGTGGGTCACTGTTTCCTGTTTTCTGTTTCAGAATACAGCATGAATGTTCCTGTGTGGTCCCTGCGACTCCTGCCAGCCCTGGCTGGTGCTCTCTGTGTGCCTTTAGCCTACCAGATTTTGGTTGAACTGCACTTCTCCCACTGTGCTGCACTTGGAGCTGCTCTTCTGATTCTCTTGGGTAAGATTGTTCAACTGAGCCCTGTTCTTTATACATGGGGAGAAGAGTCCCTTTTCCCTTAGGAATGTTTAGGGTGGAGCAGCATCTCCCCAGACAACATCAACAGCCCTGGTCTGTGTCAGTCTGTGCTGAGCCTCCCTGGTCGCCTCCATCCTCACAGCTCTGCAGCAGGCTGCCCTTCTGGGCTTTATACAAGTTCTTTTCAATATTAACCAAAGTAGGCAGCCTTAACAGCCTCACAGGAAACCACATTTCTTGTATCCAAGGAGGCCTGTACTCCCTTCCTCAGAGGTTTACAGGGTGAGTTACAACTTGTGGCTTTTAACAGCAGGACAGCTCAACTGCAGTCAGAGCTCATCAAATGTCTTCATCTCCAAGCTGCAGCAAACCAGCCTGTGTCCTTAGCACTGTGATTTGTCACTGTTCTGGTGTGTACAACTCAGCTGGTTTTGTTTTCTCTGAGGGGTTGCTGGCAGCTGCCTGAAAGGGAAAGAGCCTCTCAGCAGCTCTTTAGCAGCCTGATAAGAGAAACCTCTCCTAGCTACCAGCTGCTCTGGTTCTGGCTCACTGCAGCTCCCTTTCCTGCAGATCTGTTGTGGTGCTCATTGCTTGCTGTGCTTGCTGCCTGGACTCTTTGCTTTGAGAAACACCTCTCTGGCGTTCCCAGGACTGATTTTCTTTGCCTTTGTAGGAGTGCAGCAGCTTTATCTGCCTCCTGATAGACTTCACTGCTTGCCCACCTCTTTGTCTTGGAAACGGTTATGTCCATGTAATTTGCTCCTGCAGGAAGGTTTTTGTCCCTCTAAACCCAGCACTTGCCCATTACAGCCAGTAGGAGCTGTCTGTTCCTAAAAGGGAAGGTCCCTCTGTTGGATAACAGTGTGATTGTCGGAGGTAGCACTTGCCTATAGACAAGTTTCTCTAATTTTGGGTCTGTTTCTCTTTTCCCACAGAGAACTCTCTGATCACTCAATCAAGGTTCATGCTTCTGGAATCAATACTGATTTTTTTTATCCTGCTTGCAGTTTTGTCCTATCTGAAGTTCTACAATTTGCAGAAGCACAGGTAAAGCTGGATTGTCTCCCACCCTTTTGGATATTCTCATGGTGACTTTATTTTTTTTTGTCACAGGCTGTGTTTTTCTGTGCCTCTTAACCAGTCTGAAACTCACTTCACCTGTCTGTAAAATCCCATGCTTCACCCTCTCATTCTGGTTGCCCCAGAATTTTTCTCCTGAGCAGGGTTAAAGACTGCTTTTACTATTAACAGGGTTGTCTTTTTAAATTTTAAAATAGAAATAAAATCTCTTGGGAGCATTTCTTTGCCCACCCAGATTTTTTACTGGAAGGTTTCCTTCTGTGCACAGAAACACTAATGATGACAGGTCACTTAATTCTCCTTTGTAACTGTTTACAGACACTGAATTTAGAGGATGAAGTAATCCTTAGTAAAGTAAAATTATCTTTAAATTGAGCCTAGCAAGTGATTTAATACATTTATCTTTAAGTGCCTTCTCTGGAAGCTGGTGGTTTTGGCTCCTGCTGACTGGAGTAGCCTGTTCTTGTGCAGTTGGGTAAGTGATGATGTCTTACCTGGACTTTAATGCCTGCTGTTCAAGAGAATGTTACAATATTTATGTCTTGTATTAGGTAATTGTGTAGTTTTTAACCATGTTCATTTTTTATGCACTTTCAGAGTGAAATATATGGGCCTGTTTACCTATATGCTGCTCTTGGCTGCTGCAGGACTCCACTTCTGGCACATGATAGGAGACCAGACCTTGTCAAATGTATGTAGAACAGCATGCAAAAGATATTATTTGTCACTTTTCATTGCAGGAGCCTTTTAAGCCCACAGGTAACAGTGCAGTCTGTAGCTGGCTTTGGTACTAAAATTCCTTGTCTGGAAACCCTCCTGTCATAGTAGAGTTCCCAGCTCAGTTGCTGGGGAAGATGGAATTAAGTTTAAGAAAAATATGTGTGTGTGACTGTCTTTTCTGCTGTTATCCATGTTTTGGTGATGTGTGACTCAGAACATGCACTTGTCTCACACACTCCTGCCAGCTCCACTTGAAACCCTTGCTGGAAGTTACCCAGTTGTCCACAAAGTTACAGCTGAATGACAGCAGTGGGGAAAACTTAGAAAATACAAACAAAACAAGCAAAGTGCTCTGGAATTTTTAATATCTAGAGCATGAAACAAGTGCGCTTTCTCTGTTCTTGCAGGTTTCCTTGCTGTGCCATTTTCTAGCCCGGGCTCTGGCCCTCATCATCATCCCCATGGGGCTGTACCTCTCCTTCTTCTACGTTCACTTGGCTTTGCTCTATCGCTCTGGGCCTCACGACCAGATCATGACAAGTGCTTTCCAAGCCAGCCTAGAGGTAAAGGAATGTGGTCTTGGAACTGGTTTATTAGAGACAAGAGGGGAAAATGTTCACTATTAGGTGATGTTTAATCCTGTTCCTTTGATCCTGCATGTGTTGTCCCTTTTATATCATTTAACTATTTTGCTGCTGTAGTACTGCTTTAAGATGAAGCAGTGACTGAAATCCTAATAACAGATGAAAACCTTTTCCCAATGAAGCCAGAGCGATATATTCACTCTTCTGCTGAAGGTTTGTCCCTTCCTACAGGAAACTCCACAGAAGTAGATACAGTACAGAGTGTGGTGTACAGTATACAGTACACCACACTCTCATGTGGTGACATGGTATACTATAGCAGTGCTTAGCCTTTTAGAATATGGCTTTAGGGATATTTCCTGAGACCCTGTAGTCTTTTAGTTTTTTAGGTGTTGCTGTATTTACTGTCTATTGAATATGGAGCTGCAAGACTTGATTTTGGTAGATAAAACCAAACGAGAAGGCGCTGTGTGAAGATACTGCTGTGTTGAAGTGGGATGTGACTCAATAGAATTTAAACAGCTTCTGGGTTGTTTCTTCTTTGTACTTACCCTGTCCTTACCCTTCTCAGGGTGGGTTGGCTCGGATCACTCAGGGTCAGCCCTTAGAGGTGGCCTATGGCTCTCAGATCACCCTGAGGAACGTGCTGGGCAAGCCCATGCAGTGCTGGCTCCACTCTCACACCAACACTTACCCCATCAGGTGAGCAATCTGCCTGGGTCTCTGTGGGGAGGGTCAGCTCTGCTTCTTCACCTGCCAGTCCAAGTGTAGCAGTTTGGGTCCTGGAAGTGTCTTCATTAGTCCTTCAGAGTCCCTGTGCTCTGTGGGAATGATCAGTGATGTGCTGGTTTGTCATGCTGGCTCTGGTGAGCACAGAGATGTGCCTGTACACCTCTGTGGGGTTTTGTTATTTCCTGTGCAGGTATGAGAATGGTCGAGGGAGTTCCCATCAGCAGCAGGTGACCTGCTATCCCTTCAAGGATGTGAACAACTGGTGGATTGTCAAAGATCCTGGAATGTGAGTATGCAAGAGATTTAACTTCAACCTATAGGCTTCCAAAACCCAACCAGGGCTGGACTGGATTGGACATAACTCTTCTCTGCTTATGGGTGCAGAAGCCTGGTGTGATCTGTGATTGCAGCCCTTTGCACAATCCTTCTCAATGTGGTAAAAGCATTACTGAGGACTCTAAAATCCTGTCTGAACTGCTCCTGCCAGAACATGGGCTATGCTGTGCACAAGTGGAGCTTGAAAGACTCACAAGACTATTGGAGATTCTTGAGGTGTTTTGCATCAAAGGGAAGCTCTGCTTTTGAAGTGTGAGCCATGGTGTTGGAGTGTGTTGATGAGTTTTATCAAACTTGAATGAGTCTCAGAAAAGAGTAGAAAACACTTTTGAAAAATGAGTAGTTCTTTGTATTAGAAGTATGGCATGAGCTGTAAGATCTGCCACATAGGGAAGGATTCCAAGTGGTGCCTGTACCTGGGGCCTGGTTTGTGCTGAAGTGTTTTGCCATTGTCACTGGCAATGCAGAGCAGGACTCTCTGGCCTTGTTTTGCCAGTAAAAGCTTTTGAGTGACATAATTTCATACTGATCAAAAAGTTGCTTTTGTAGGTTTCTTATGTTGTTCTGAGAACTGTATAAAGAGTCCTATCAGAAGGACTGTGTGCCATTAGAAGTCATATCCACATTGGGAAAGTTTGTCCATGGTGCAAACCTTTCAAGTAGGGACTCTAACAGGACCAAAGACCCCAAATATATTCTTAAAATTCTTCAAACTCAGAAGACTCCTATGAGCATTGGAGGATGTGAAATTCTTCTGTGGAACAGTAAAATACAGGCAGCAGTTCAGTGAATTGCAGTTCCCCCTTGCCATGGCCCTGTCCAGAAGCCAGGTGAGAGTTTATTTTATAAGGTGCAAAAGCCATTGATCTCCTATAATTCTGCCAAAGTGACACCAGCTGTAGTGCAGCACCCATCAGACTCAGTGCAGCACTCAGTGTTTCACACGAGCCACCAAACAGCTGTGTGACAGTAATAACCTTAATTCACTCCTGGCTGACCTGGATTTCAGAGCACTGACCTAATGCCTGGAGTGTCAGTATCCCATTACTGATCCTCTGACTCATTCTGCCCTTAACTCACCTTTGCCTTGATGAGCTTTGTTTCCATTCTGGTACAGCCTATATATTGCTTTAATTTCTCATTTTCTTGCCCAAATATCTGTCCCCGCCTGCAGCTTCCTGACCTAACAACTTGGGCATGACAAGATTGTGGTACATATAGAGATGCATATAGTTGAACCATTTCCAATTTAACCATTTGGGTGTGCCTTCCCCAGGCAGCAGCTGGTGGTGAGTAACCCCCCACGGCCCGTCAGGCACGGGCACATCGTGCAGCTGGTCCATGGCATCACAACTCGCTACCTCAACACGTAAGTCCTTTCCTCCTGCTCTGCTCTGCCAAGCCTGCTGGCTCATTCTGCTGGGTTGGCTCTCAGAATAGGTGACCTTGCATTCAGATATGCCATAAGCTGCCTGTTATTTTGGATTTTTACACCGGTCAGCCTTGGAGGGACCTCATGTGGTTAGTTCCATATGCCATCCCTGTGGCCCAGAGGAAGGATGCTGTATGCTTATTTATTTTTTTCTGATTGACTTGGCAGTGGGATTTGATCCTAATCACAAACTTCTTAATAGTTGCTTACTGCTTCTGTTCTTCCCTACTAGTGGCCTTTAGAGGATTTCACAGTTGTTCACATTTCATGGTAGTTCTGCAATTTCCTAAATACAGAGTCCCCTCTGTCAGTCTTCATCCTCACCCCTTCATTGCCCCCACTCTGGACAGGTACAGGTATTCAGTATTTTGTGTGACTTAACCCGAATCCAACTCCACTGACTTTGATGGCATGCTCCTACCTGAAGGACGTGCTCTGGAAATTGGGAAGATGTGCTGGAGAATCCGGTGTGCTGTGGCTGATTGCCAGAGATTCTTGCCTGTTTTGAAAGCCTGCAGTATGAAGTTGCCTCCTGACTGCTTCCCAGAGGGCATCTGTGTGTACTTGAATATCCCTCAGATTAGGAAGGAGGTTGTTCTGAGCTTGGGTTTTTGCTATGTCCCTTCCAAATCTAATTTGTTCATTATTGGAAACCTCAGTGAACAGCGTCTCTGTTTGTCACAATCAGTGCTTGTTCTTCAGCCTGGCATCACAGGCATCTGCACTGGCTTCCTCTGAGCCTGTTCCTGGCAGCCCTTGGTTGTGGGGAATGCTCTCTCTCAGAGTAAACAGTGCAATCCTGCTAAGTGAGTTACTTTTTGCTTCATTACTGAATCCAGTCTAAGCCAATTCCTTATGGATTTGTTTTTTATATGTATTTGGGAAGTGGTGGTGGAGGACCTTCCTTTATTTGTCTTCTAGGCATGATGTTGCTGCTCCTCTTAGCCCCCACTCCCAAGAAGTTTCCTGCTATATTGATTATAACATCTCCATGCCAGCACAGAACCTCTGGAGAGTGGTGAGTGGTCAGAGGGAGGGGAGGAGCTGATCATGCTCCAGCAGAACAGCTGAGACAACATGGATCAAAATCATCTTTCTGTTGTAGGAAATTGTAAATCGCGAGTCTGACACGGATGTGTGGAAGACAATTCTGTCAGAAGTGAGGTTTGTTCACGTGAACACCTCTGCAGTGCTAAAGGCAAGTGGGTTATGTTTATTTGCCTGTAGATTTTGCTTCATGCAGTTCTTGTAATCTCAAAAACTCTGCTCCAAAATAACTGCACCACTATAACGAATAACAAGGTAAGAAATTAAAGGAAGCAATCGCTCAGTGTGACAAAAGAGCATATTTTGGGTTGTCACACTGGTACTTCATCCCTTTCACTATCAAAGCTGTCCTGCTTCTCAAGAGGCTGTGACCACTCTAAACTGGGGCTTACAAACTGATGCTGAGTCTGGGTGCCTGTGAGAGCAGCTGCAATAATTAAGGATCTTTTTCTTCACAAAGTTTGTCAGAATCACTGATTTTATGTCTGTAGCATTTATTGAGACAGTTTTGTGTGGTGACTCTTCACACATTTTCTGGCAGTCCCTTGCTGTCATCCAGTGCTCAGGCAGAGCCTGAAGTTCAGATTGATAGAACTTGGCATTTAAAAGTTGACAGTTGTCTTTCTCTTTCAGCTCAGTGGAGCATCTCTGCCTGAGTGGGGATACTGGCAGCTGGAGGTGGTTGGAGAGAAGCTGTCCAAAGGCTACCACCAGAGCATGGTGTGGAATGTGGAAGAGCACAGATATGGGAAAAGTATGTCTCAGCCATGTTCCAGGTTTCACTTTGTAGTGGTGGGAAGGTGGTACTGTGTGTGTGTGCTCAGTTGGCTCTGCCATGGAGTCAGAATCCTTACAAAGTCCCTTCAAGTGCTCTTGCAGTTGGATGATGTACTGGAGAAGGGCTCCTGGGACAGTGAGGAGCCTGTGTGCTCTCTCTCCTTTCTAGCTTTCTGCCTGTTATGTGCTTATTTCTGAGCTTTGCTGTTTTCTTCCAGGCCAAGAGCAAAAAGAGAGGGAAGTGGAACTCCACTCTCCCACACAGATGGACATCAGTAAAAACCTCAGCTTCATGGCAAAGTTCACAGAATTGCAGGTGAGTGTCTTGTTATTCCCTTCATTCTTCCTTCTGCTGCAGAGCAGGAACCTGAGCATTTCTGCAGACTCTGAGCCTGAGGATTCATTGTTTAATCCTTGCTGATAGTTTGGCTTCCTCACTGTAAAAAAATGTTTCTGAATGCACTTATAAGGGCATTAAAGACCTGGGCTGTCCAGCAATGAATACCCAAGTGATTGTGTAACAAAAAAGGGGAGGAAAGTTGGTTGGGCACCCAGAAGCTGCCTGAAACTGAACTGTAATGTGTGGTACATGCAGTGAGTAGTGGTGATGCCCCTTACTATCTTTGTAGAAATCCATTAAGGAAAGTGCATTATTTAATAACAAAATTTAAAAATTGTATTGATCAGTATCCACAGAGATATGTAAAATATTTCTCCACTCCCAGCTTAAGGACTTAGCATCTTACATCTGGAGCTGTTCACCCCTGCCTGCTGTCCCACCTGTTCCAATCTGAAAGCCTTCTGCTTACCTTTTTTTTTCTAGTGGAAAATACTTACATTAAAAAATGAAGACACAGAACATAAATACAGCTCCTCTGCCCTGGACTGGATCACAATGGACACCAATATTGCCTACTGGCTCCACCCCACCTCGGGGGTAAGTACTACATGTAGAAGTAGCTGTGAAGCTGTTGAGAAAGCAGAACAGCTCAGATGTGAGCCCCAGGTGTAGGAGTCAGAGCAGGGCTGCAGCTTCCAGCCAAGGACTTTTCCTCTATTAATATATTTTCCATGAGGGGTGAGGTATTTGTTTTAGCATGAGATACAGCTTTGACAGTAGTTGCTTTTAATTAAATCATGTTTGCTTGTGCCTTTTTTTTAAGGTAAATTGCAGTTTAATAGTTTCCATTATTGATTTCATTTAGAAGATGAGTTCATCTCCAATAGCATCCTTTAAATGCTTTCCATTACACAAGAGTCCTAAAGCAGCAAAGTTTATCAACCAGCTTTGTTCCAGGTTACTAGGCAGGCTCATTCTGGAGCTTAATTTAGCAAGTTTGTGAAAATAAAAGAACCACAGCATGTTCCTGCTTCTGGCTTAGACCATCCTCTGTCCTGCAGGCCCAGATCCACCTCCTTGGGAATGTTGCCACCTGGGTTTCAGCTAATGCTGCTGCTCTGCTTTACCTGTGTCTGTCCCTGTGGTACTTGCTGCGGCGAAGGAGGAAGATCTACGACATCCCTGAAGGTCTGACTGCACTCTGTGTGTGCCCAGGTGGAGGCTTGTGCCTTGCTCTGCTCTCAGGTGCCATCTCCTGTCTCCTGCAGATGCCTGGCAGCTCTGGATGTCAGCGGGAGGCATTTGTGGTGGAGGCTGGGCTGTGAATTACCTGCCCTTCTTCCTGATGGAGAAAACACTTTTCCTGTACCACTACCTGCCTGCTGTCACATTCCAGATTCTCCTGATTCCTGTGGTACTGCAGCATCTCAGCGATCATCTCTGCAGGTATTTGGCTTCAGCAGAATAGTTCTCTGGCACAGTTCTTATCCAGGGCTGTCTCCTGGGCAAGCTGCTGCAGGGAAAGCAGTGTTTTAACAGCAGTGGTTTTTCCAGCGGTGGCCAAACTCTGTCATTGGCCTTTAGGGAAGCCAGGCCAGGCACAGGTCTTTTGGATGAAGTGTTTGGCCAGCTTGATGTAACTTGAGTGCTCTTTCCCTGTCTGCTCCCAGATCTGTGCTGCTCAAGAGCATGTTCAGTGCCCTGGTTGCAGGCTGGTTCTCCTCAGTGTACTTTGTGTACTGCACCTTCAGCCCCGTGACCTACGGGCAGCCTGCTCTGTCCCTCCCTGAGCTCAAGGCCCTGCGCTGGAAGGACACCTGGAACATCCTGATCAGAAAGCAGTGACCACTCCAGCCTGGTACAGCAAAGGGAAACACCTCTTGTGCAAAGCCAAGGATTTATTGTTAGAATCATGGAAACCTTAACAGTCACTTCAGGTATTTTGTAGTAGTCCAGGTCTAATGGTTACAGGAGAAAATAAAGGAACGCTGTTACAGAAAAGGATTCAACAGTAATACAGCTGTTGTGAGCACAGCTCCCAGTTTCTGCCCCTCTTGCATTCACCCCTCACTGCCCCTCAGGGTGTGAAGGCTGCTGACTTCAGTCAACAGCATCCCAGCTCCTTTGCTGGGAAGAGCTGCAACAGTTTCTTCTCTTTCCTGGAAATACAGTGGTGGTTTCTTCCTTCTGGCATTCCACTGCACTTAGGGCTATTTCATGTGTTTCCTATCACTGTGGTCTACAATGCCATTATATACTTACTATAAAATGGACTCTCTCCAACACATCAGATACTTTTTTTCTGATTGTTATGCCTGAAACCCAGGTTTTCCCTTTCTAAAGCTTGCTCATCTTTAACAATCAGTAACTGGCCCTGCGGCCTTACAGCATCATTCCATGACTCTGTTCCTCAACAATGCATTATTTGCCCCCAACTTCCAATGCTCTGCTATCATTTCTATTTCTGTAAATACAGCATTAAGCTACATTTATAAATAGTTCATTCTGCATAGAATAATGACTTGTTACTATTATCTATTTATAATCATCTGACATAAGCATCACTTTTAAGAAGATAAGCAAAATAAAAAGATATTAAAAGTTGCTGTTACAGCTAAAGCAGGCTTCAGGCAAGCCAGGAACTGAGCCAAAGCCAGAATAATCCTTTGGCCATGTGGCACTAATGTGAAGCCTGAGGCCTGCTACCAGCAGTGGCAGTATTGCCATTACACCTCACATCCCATGGGAAAAGAACTCTGGGCAGGATAGGACTGATCCTGCTGACAGGGAAACCTTCTCCAGCTTGTGCACATGGGTTCAGGGTGAAAACACTGAAACCCAGCCCATGGCCTGGCCTGCACCAGCAGAGAATTCACAGAGAAGAAGGCAGAGGTGAAGCACTGGGGACTCAGTGGGGAGTTTGTGATGGCTCTGTCCAGGTGTCTGGGCAGGGCTGTAGTACCTGGGCCACATTCCATTGCTGTATCTCCACGTGGCTGCAGCAGCAGGTCCTGCAGGGCAGCACAAAGCTGCCAGAGCAGCATTCCCACACCCCAGGGGCTGTGCAGTTCCTCACTGCTCTAAACAATTCTATTCAAGGCTCCCCCACCCCCTGAGGAAGGTATGATCCAACACCACAGTCATTCAAAGTAGGTTTTAGTGACTATTTTGCTCCTGCTGGAATCAGCCCTGAGAGCTAATGCTTCAGTGCAGTAGCTCATGCTCTAAGTCTGTCACCCTGAGCTAGAGAGCACCCAGCAGCAGTCAGGAAATGCTCTGCCTTCTCCTGGGCACTGCAGAAGTACCACTGAACTACCACAGACACCAAACCTTCACCCCTTTCCAAGGCTGAAAAGACTACAGGGATGGAAGTGCAGACTGCATTTCTTAAGTTTGGGGTTTTTTTTTCTCCAGATTTTCATCCACAACAGAACCAAAGGTAACAATTCTGAGTTAAGGAGAGAAAGAACTGTATAAGGGCCCCTCCAGCAGTGTTCCTTTCTGTGCCTTTTTGCTGGCATAGTGAATGTACCAAAATTACCTTTTATAAAAATGGTCATTTCTGATCACTTTTCATTTATTTATTAGCCAAAGTAACACACCCACAACCAACACAGCCAAGCCCTGCTTTTAGAAAATTAGCAAATATGAAAAAGTTCCTCTTAGTAACATTTCCCTCCCACCCTCATTCTCAAAATTACACCTTAAGTCCAGACTCAAGAACAGTATCACAAGGACATTTTCAAAGGTCCAACCAGCACTTCATTACAGTTTTTTTCCAAACAGACACTTCATGCTGCTGCAGTATCACTTATCTGGGGTAAACTACAGAAACTGGGATATCACTGTTTGTACTTCTTGTCTGCTCTTTTTAGAAAGCCAGACATTCTTGAGTTGAAGCTGCTGGAGTGCAAGGCAAGTGCTCTGACCCTGTCTGAGGGTGTCCAGGCAGCTGCTTGTGCCAGCAGGAGGAAGGTCCTGCAATTCCCAGTTTCCCCCCTTGCTGACCTCACCAGCCATCTCTGGAATTGGACGGATTCTGCCCAGCAGAATTTGCAACCAGCAGTACAGAAATGCACTAAAAGACACTAATACTGACCAGGTCAGGTTTCTGTCTCCATGAGCAACTCAATCCAGTTGGAGCTCACACATTCAGTAACTGTGGTAAAGCACGCTGGGTACAAAAAATAACCAAAAGGTGTAGCAAGATCCAGGAGCTTGGAAAGGAATAAATTAGGAATCACTAGAACCACTAAACTTCTTGGGCCTGTCCCCTGGTGAACTGCAAGTTCCCATCTGTCCCAGTCAGTCTCTGTCTCACCCCTGTCTCAAGGGAGAGGGGCCTCTGCAGGTCAGTCCCTCTGACCCCACAGGCTGGCCAGCAGCAGAGCATGGCCACAACTCAAGGTGCCAACAAGGTGGAGAAAGAGTAGGAGCCTGTTAAAATTAACAGCATGTGAGCTAGTCTTGGATAGAGAGAATAACACCCAAGAGGCAGACGGTTTTCCTGCTACAGACAGCCATCATCAGGGAAATGGGGCGTCTTGCTAGTCACCTGATAGTGCTTAATTTTCAGGGGAATCTTCAGCATTAGATCTCATTCTGAAAATTAAAAAAAGGCAAGTAACACTGCCTTTAACCAGTTCACCAAGTAACAACTCCAGACATCTCAGAGAGAACAGGGAGGGCTTTGGAGGGAAGCATGATGGAATGCCAACCCCTTCCTCTCCCCTCTGTGACAAGATCCCCACCAGGATCCCCTCCGCTGCTAGCACGACTTAAGGGGCACTTCACCAACCATTCCGTGGAAGTCCTTTCCCAAAGTTGTCTTCAGTGTCGGCGTGGACCAGAGGCAAACCCTGGGGCCGTGCCGGGCTAGTGCGGGCGGCTGCTGGACTCGAGGTGGGAGCGCTTGCCGGCCGCCAGCACAGCGGCGCTCTCCGCCTGCTCCGGGAACGGCCGCTTGTAGGTGCGGCCGTGCCCGTTCAGCGCCCCCCGCTGCCACTTGCAGATGTCCCCGTTCAGGATGTCCTGGATGTGCTGCACGATGAGGTTTATGGCAACTGCAGAGAGGAACGGGGAATGGAGGGCATGAAGGATCTCCTGGTTGAGTTATCTAGAAAATGCGGAGCATCCAGCTCTGCTCAAGTTTTAACAAGCCCCTAAATGAAACTCTGCCTGCTGTCTGCACTGAGGTCACACCTCAACAGGTCACTTGTCCAGCCCTCCACAGGCTGAGCAGCTCCCTCCCCTCCAGCCAAAACCCCTTCCTCAGGAGCAGGCACTCCAGGCAGCAGGGAGCCTCCTGCTCTATTCCCAACCCCAAAGGTGTCTCCCCAGGGAAATCAGGGAACCCAGCTCCCTTTTACCCATGTTGTCAACGCCTCTGGGGATGATCACATCTGCATACTTCTTTGTCTGAAAAACAGAAACAGTGGTGGAGGAGGCTGTTAATGGGAAAAGTCAGCTTCATTCCAAGAAGAAGCAACCAAAGGCCAGAAAACTGGGCAAAGATGGAAGTGCTCCAGGGTTGTAAGTTAAAGCTCTCTCTCATGATAACAACCTAAATAAATTCCAATATCACACTGGCAAATGTGCACTGGATTTAAGCTCAGGGGTTCTTACTGTCCCTTTGCAGAGAATCACCAGGCAGAAACAGGAGGTCAGGTGTGGAGTCCTTTGCTTTTACCCATTTGGAGCTGCCTTCAAACACTGCCCACGTCAGGCAGGGTCTGTTTGCCAAGAGCTGGTTTTAATCAGCATTTCGCAAGCCATTGCTAAATCTCTGCTGAGAGCCAAGGTATCCAACGTGCATGTGAAATTCCTGCCTGCCTCTGATAACACTTTATTGATCTTTACCACCACAGCACTCCTGCTTTTTCTTTCCCCCCACAGCTGAAAAAAAGCTGGCAAATTCAGCATTTCTAATGAGTAGTTTTAGAATCCCAGAATTCCTTTGATCTGGAGCAAGAGGCACCTGAGCTAGCCTTTTCCAATTTATTTAATCCACATACAGGATTTTGTTATCGTAGGGTTTTTTACAAATTAATTTGATTATTTGAGTACCTAAATTGGCCTCCCACTACATGGTGTAGCAAGCAGAGCTAGAATGGCCTGCCCAGGTTTTCACCAGTGTTCCCTTTGAGAAAGGCTGCTGGAAACCAAGCTTTTCTTTCTTCCTACAAGGCTTAAGAATAAACTGAGAGTGGGAGTCTTTCATTCAGAGAGACCCATACTTAAATAGCCCCAGCAGCCAGCAGGGAGAAAACGTGCTTGAGGCATTTCCATGGTGCTCTGCCAGCAGAAGGGACCATTTCAGTTCCTTAACAACCAGCTTGAAACGGTTGAAGGCATGAGGCAGAGAACGTGGGATTTGTGAAATACAAATACCAAAAGTCACCACTGCTGCCCCTACAGCAGCTAAATCCCAAACAACCCTGCTCCTCTACCCCTCCCCAAAAAAGAAGACCCCACAAATGAAATCAGTGAGAGGCTTCGTACCGGTAAGCAGAACTCCTCAAAGGCAGGCTTGACAAACGTGGTGTACTGCGTGAGGATCTGCTCCAGGTCCCTCCCACGCTTCATATCTCGCAGAACTGGGGAGGGGAGATAAAAGCCCTGAGTGCTGTGCCCTGGTGGGGATGGATAAGGAGCGGGGGCACGGCGGGGCTTCACCTCGGCGCGACAGCCGCACGTCGGAGTCCGTGTCCACAAAGAGCCGCAGGTGGAACATGTCCCGAATGTCCTGGTTGTAGAAAACCAGGATCCCCTCAAAGAGGACAACGTCAGCAGGATACACCACCGTGGTCTCTGCCAGCCTGCAGGGAGAGACACCCAGAGCCTGTTACACGGACCTCGTGCCACCGCCAAGGGAGCTGTGGGGACACCCCAGACAAGGCAGGACTTTGGACAAAGGCAGACCTACCTAGAATGTGTCACGAAGTCGTACGTTGGCACCTCAACCGTTTTGCCCTCAACGATGTTTTTCAGGGTTGAATGCATCAAATCGTTATCAAAGGCATCTGCCAGAGGAAAGTTCAAAGAGAACGACTTTCAGACGCTGCTGTATCAAATAATCTGCTCAGATTTTTCCAGACCCAAAGGAAAAACCCTCTGCCCAGTATTTCCCCAGGAAAAAAGGAACTTGCAGCCTGCTCTTTCCTACCACGAGCAACACAGCACTCTCAGCCCAAGTGAGAATGGCTGTGTTTGGTTTCAGAGATAAGGAAGAGACAGTTTGCTGTTCACAAGCAACTACAATACAGTGAAATTAAGAGCTCAAAGGTGAAGCTGGTCATTTTATAATTTTATCAGCCCGCTTAGTAATTGCATAATTTTGTGCAACTTTGTTCAGCTGTTAGTCAGGAGCCAATTGGAAAACCCCAGGCATCTTTCATGGTTTCCATTACCCACCCCAGAGGCACCAGACTTCAGCCAAGGGCAGCTCCCTGTCCCGCCTACAATCCACAGCACTCCCCCGGGCAAGGGGAGCAGCTGTTTGTATGGACAAGAAGTAACAGGAAAGGATTCGGGGAATGATGTGGTTCATTAAGGAACCTCTGAAGAGCGGGGAGTGCAGCAGGCTGGGATGCTCTGCACCTCTCCACAGCTCCAGAAGCACCGTCAGTAACAACCAGCACAAGGGAAGGACAAATGGATGTTGTGGTGCGGGAAAGCACGTGTCTGTTCTCCAACACTTCCCCTTTCCTAGAGGTGCCTCCCGTGAGACCCAGCTGCTCCCCAGGCACCGGGCCGGTGTGCGGCTCACCCGGGTGGTCGAAGTTGTACTGTCCCTTCAGCGCCTTGGCCTGCTGCTCGGCCGTCAGCACCTTGTAGAAGCTGTCCTGGCTGAGGATCAGCACCTTGCGCTGCCGCTGCTCCACCTCGTTCTGCCCCAGCAGCTCCATGATCTTCTCGCACACTGTGGACTGAGCGGGACGGGGGCTCAGCCGGGCCGGGGGTCCCCGGCCGCTCCCGCGGCGCCCGGCGCGGCCCGGCCCCCAGCCACCGGCGATGCCCCTGCGGGCCTGGAGCCCTCAGCCCCCGCGCCGCGCGGGCTGCGGGGGGCGAGCCCCAGCACGGCCCCGGCACGGTGGGCTCACCTTGCCGCTGGCGGTGCCGCCGCTGACGCCGATGAGGAAGGGCTTGGGGTGCGGCCGCTCCGCGTCCGGGCCGCCCGCGGACGCCATGGCGGGATGGACGGCGGGGGGCGGGGCCCGAGGCGGGGCCGGCCAGGGGGGGTGGGCGGGGGGGGGGGGGGGCCGGGGGGGGGGCGGGGCGGGGGGCGGGGCGTGGAGAGGGGCGTGGCGATGAGGGGCGTGGCCACGTGCGCTGAGCGCGTCCGGCCTCAGCGCCGGGCCCGGAGCGCCGGCACGGACAGACGGACAGACGGACAGGCGGACAGCCGGGCGGCTCTGCCTTGTTACAGACAACGCTGTCTTACCCAGTCCCTTGTTGTGAGCGTGTGTGTGAGTGCGCGCCTGTCCCCGGCTGTGTGTGTGACACCTGTTCCGTGTGTCTGACACCTGCACCCGTGTGTACACCTGTTCCGGGTGTGTTTTACACATGTACACATGTGCATATGTACACCTGTACCCGTGTGTTTTACACCTGTACCCGTGTGCATGTATACACCTGTTCCGGTTACACCCGAACTCGTGTGTCACGTGCATATGTACACCTGTACCCGTGTGTTTTACACCTGTACCCGTGTGTACACCTGTTCCGAGCGTGTTTTACACCTGTACCCACGTGCATGTGTACACACCTGTTCCATGTGTTTTACACTTGTTCAATGTGTTTTACACCTGTACCCATGTGTGTTTTACACCTGTTCCCGTGTATGTTGTACCCCTGTTGACGAGTACAGGTGCGTGCAGAGCGCGGTACACGGGAGCTGTGAAGAAACACCCGAAGGTACAACACAGAGACACCAGGAGACATCCATACACATATGGTAAGACACGTACACACTGTGTGCACACACATCCTGTGCGTGGGTGTGACAGAGATATCCACACACACACATTTTAAACATTAATAGCTGCAGCGACAATATACAGAATTTTACATAAATTTTGTGTATAAATAGATCCGGAACACACACCACGTGTGTTTTACACCTGTACCCATGTGCATGTGTACACCTGTTCCCTTGAGTTTTACACCTGTACCAGTGTGCGTTTGACACCTATTCCCATGTGCATGTGTACACCCCTTCCCTCTGTGTGTTTGACACCTGTTCCCATGTTTTACACCTGTTCCTGTGTGTTTTACACCTGTACCCATGTGTTTTACACCTATACCTGTGTGTGTTTTACACCTGTACCCGTGTTTGACACCTGTTCCCATGTGTGTTTTACACCCGAACTCGTGTGTTTTACACCTGTACCCATGTGTGTTTTACACCCGAACTCGTGTGTTTTACACCTGTACCCATGTGTGTTTTACACCTGTTCCCGTGCATGTTGTACCCCTGTTGACGAGTACAGCTGGGTGCAGAGCGCGGTACACGGGAACTGTGAAGAAACACCCGAAGGTACAACACAGAGACACCAGGAGACATCCATAGACATATGGTAAGACACGTACACACTGTGTGCACACACATCCTGTGCGTGGGTGTGACAGAGATATCCACACACACACATTTTAAACATTAATAGCTGCAGCTACAATATACAGAATTTTACATAAATTTTGTGTATAAATAGATCTGGAACACACACCACACTCTACATGTAAATACAATAAAATAGAAAAATAGAAAAAAAATTTATAAAATAAATACAAATCATATGTTTAAACAGGAAGAAATGGAAGGTTCTTGACTGCTCTGCGCTGCACGGGCCGGACGGAGCCCGGAGCCACGGCCAGCCCGGTTTGCCTGCCGGGGCGGCGGAGCCCGCGGTGCAGGCCCGGGCAAACAGCGGGTCAATGATTAACCGGCCCGGCCGCGCTCCCGCCGCCGCGCGGGGCCACGCGGGGCTCGGGGGG